CCGCAACATCCATTTACTACCTGGTGGACTGTGTGCTCGGTTGTCACCATTATTTTATAAAAAAACAATCTTATAGAAATTAAAAAAAATACCTAGCTTATATGCTTTGTGAAATTGCATTAAATGTACATCATAGTTTGCTTTTAATAAGCCTAAACTTTGTTATTACGTCTAACCGGTAAATCTCTGTTGTGGTCGAGCGTGTGGTGCTGCCCTAATAATGTATCAAACTAAAGTGTGGTCGCGGCTTCTAGCCGTATCATGCTGTTATAACTGATAACGTTTTGATGATTGTTCAAAAGCTAATCGATAATTGCTGTCCTCAATTGGATCCGCTTGTGGGTAAATTGGACGCGCCCTTTGTTGCTACTCTCAAAGTACATTAAATATATGTTATACCGGCATGATCTAAATTTTGGCGATAGAAGAATGAAATCATCATTCGACCCATATTGTTCATATTTGCTATTTATAGAGTAAAACTTGTGATCCTTCTTTAACAACTCCCATTAAATTTTTATTAGACATTTTAGCTGATGTTACATTAGATTGACTTGTGCGTGTTAACGGAATGACTGCGACGTTGCGACTTGCGGGCTCGATTCCTATTTCCTACACAGATCAATAATTTGTATGGCCCGCCAATAATTGTTCCGGGTTTGTGTTTATCCATGTGCGTTATTTATGTTGATGCCTCTACGATATATGTAGACGAAATTCCTATTGTTATTCGTTTTTTATAGATAAACACAGAAATTTGCTTTCTTTGTACAATTTACTTTAATAGGACGTGTAACATAAAATCTGTTTACTCTGCCTAGAATTTAAAACAGCTTCTATTGTGCAGAGAGACTGAGACTGCACTTTCATTGTTTATAGCTATTATTAACAAATATTATTTTTAAATTTTCAAATTCATATACTGGCTGAAAAACAATGTCTATCTAAGAAAAAATATCGACAAATTCTTATATATGTTATACTGGAAGATTTTTTTACCGTCTGGAAAAATATAGGGTGTGCTGAACTAATATACTATACAGGTGAACAGCATAGAAGCCTATGGTACCTACTGATATATTACAATTTTTAGTTTTACATTAACATATGAAATCGATCTATCGATAAATACTACTATAATTAAATAAATATATTGACTTGGCAATCGCACTAAACTATCTATATTAATATAAGATGTTATACTTGTGAGATATATTGGGTTTTCATGCGATGGTCCAAGTCAATCTATTTATCAAAAACACAAAATATTTTTAATATTGAAATGGTCACAATAAGATGTTGTTAGGTTAGCTAATTACTTAACAACTTAAGACAGAAGGACCTTTAAGTAGGGACTGAACAAATTAACCGACTTGTTATTTATTACATGGATCTCACAACTTTTTACGGTAGAAGAACGTTGCGAGACTTGGTTTTTTTTTACAAGTTATGTTTTTGATGGCATAACTAATTTCTTCTTGCACAGGAAAGATGAAGTCCCTCTGGAAAGCATCGCATATAGAGGAACAGCGATCTTAGGACGGAAGGACATAATATACGAAGAGAAGAAGCGCACCAAAGGCATACGTCTTGAAATAGAAAACACGGAAATAGGGCTATATGTAGCCTATCGTCCGCCCAACACCGGACTATACGTGGTAGAGTCACGCTGCAGCCACGCTCTCGCAGCATTCCAGCGTAAAATAGTAAACACACAGCATGGGGCTCTGACATCATTACTCCTAATAGCGGAGGACTCTACGAAGATGCCGATAGAGGCATATACGAAGTGCTCGGTCCAAACGGGCCGAAAAACACCACCAGCGCAAGCAGCGGGGCGATCTGTTGTACTGGACATTGTGTTAACAAACAATTATCCACCCCATCGAGGGTGGATAAACGAACACGCGTTTCCGAGTATCTACCCTAGGGTGGATTTCTTAGGGTGTATAAATGGTAACAAGTAGAGGTGCTCTATGACGCAGATACACAGCCTCTTCCAATCCTCGTTACAATAAACATCACCGTACACGTGGCGGCACCCAGAGCCCCAAGAATAATTACCAATTGGGGGAAGTACGTAAAGGTTATGGAAAACTACCCATACCAAATACAAACTTCCAATCCAGAAGAGGTAGAGACTGCCGCTATACATATGAACGATATCGTATATAAGAAATATAGCGCGACCACAAAAATTATCCCTTAAGTATAAAGAAGAGAAGACCTCCCAATGAAATTAAAAGCGGAACTTCCCCAAAAGAGGACACTAAGGAAGTTATGGGCCCGAACCTGTCTACGGGTGAAAACGAAACTAGACAAAATTATGGAAGAAGACTCACCTCACTCAGTATCCAGTAGCCATACTCACGTGGACAACGATGGGACAGTGATATACGGAGCGAAGTAACGCGCTGAAATACTAGACAATCACCTGGAGGAGCAATTCAAGCCCAACACTAGTAGCCGCGGTCACAGAACAGGAAGGGCATATATTTTAGGCATATTCTCTTATTTGTGTTCTTTCCTCTCTGGTCCCCCAATTATCATAGGTGGCTTTAGAAGCTCACTCGGGAGTGGTCGATCGGGGGGCCAGGTTATTTAGATGTGTGTATTTGTGGTCCGTTCCACCCTAGGTGCCCCACTAAGTGGTAATGACTTTATGTCACCCACAGAAGCCATGAATGTCGCGCCCAGACTACCCTTGATGGGTGGAATTAATACAACAGCAATACGACAACTGCCCAGAAGAGGGTTCGTTGCGCTATCCCGTCTCTACAACGGCATTTTACGCACTGGACACCACCCCAACGTGTGGAAGACGCGTAAAATCATCCTCCTACCCAAACTCGGCAAGGAGCGAAAACAACCTGTAAGCTACGGGCCAATCACACTACTGCCGTACGTATTGAAATTATTTGAGAGATTGCTATTAAGAAGGATCGTCCTGCGAGTCGAACTGAGAGATGAACAATTCGGATTCAGAAGAGGATACTCAACAACATTGCAGCTTAGCCCGTGTGCTGCACTACTTTGCGACTGAACATATAGATAGCCTTTGACAGAGTGTGGTACACGGGCCTCGTATACAAATTTATCAACCAGTCAACCGTCCCACCAGCGCTCGTACAGCTCGTTATGTCATTCCTCGAGGGGCGGAAATATTTCGTCTCGATAGAGGGTGGCGACTCTATATGTAGAGCCTTCGAAGCAGGAGTACCACAGGGCAGTTGTCTGTCACCTCATTTATATAAACGATATACTAACACTCCATGACAGCTGGAAGAATGGGAAGATGACGTGATGCTGATGTTCTATGCGGACGACAGCGCATATTTCACTTCGTCTAAGAAAGCAGTGGTCGCTGCCGAAAGGATGCAAAGGCTGCTGAACATACTTCCAGAATGGCTGGATAAATGGCGAATGTCCATCAACGTAGGAAAGACATCCGCCATAATAACTGACCGGCTAGTGCATGCGATGGCACCACTCCAATTAACAGGAGAAGTTATAGATTTGATAACTTCTGCTGTTATCAAATCTATAACTTCTCCATGTCGCTCGCTACGCATGGTCCCCCAAATCGACCATGCAATCTGACAAACTAGAGCTGCGCGAGCGATCCTATACCCCGTACTGACATCAACTCTTTCTAGGAAAACAAAACTCGGAATATTCAAAACATATATCCAATCACGCCTGGCATACGTGACACCGGCCTAGTACGGCTTAACATCACCTACACAAAGGAAAATAATGCAATCCCAACAGAACTTCGCACTGAGAGTCATCGTGAGAGCTAATCGATACGTCAGGAATGACGTCATCGCAGGGAACCTGAAGATCGAGTTAGTCGAAGAGTTCATCAAACGCCTAGCAAGAAAAATGAATGACCAAGCTGACAACGGACCACACACACACCTAAGCAATTGGCCCCCGTGCATGATCGAGCTCCTGACGGTCGACCACTCCCGAAAGAGCTCCTGAAGTCACCTCTCATGATTTGGGGGACTAGAGATGAAAGAACACAAATAAGAGAACATGCCTAAAACGGAAGTAAGAAGAGGAGAAAAAATAATTCAGATGCTAAGTTCCATATATCCGGGGGACGCTAACCCTGAGAAGACTTCCGGGTAAAGAAGTTAGCCTCGAGATCCGATATCTGCGGGGTTGAATAACCTCTGTAGACTACCCACTGACTGACTGCAATTCGCTCGGAATGACAGTTTCCAATAAGAAGAAAATAAATAACGGTGAAAAAATAATGAACGAATTAAGTATCGTATTTGCAATGGGGAAAGTTTATATTAAAATTAGTGTTTCATTCAAGATCTTCCAGTGTTTGTGCAGTGTGTCCTGAACGTAGGGTATGAGGATACAGTCCGCCTATGTGGAGCCTTACGATAGGCGTCAAGACCGGGGCCGACCCAAGCGGGGTCCGTTATCATAGTCGTCGATCCCTTTCTTAAGAAACTTCGTTGTGTATGGAATCGAACGTCTTCTACAAGGGTCATGCATGCTACCAACTTTAGACACGTCTTCCTCGTTGTAGAAAACCAGCGTGGTGTGGTGTTAACCTGTCACCGAGGCGAGGCGAGGCGTAAGACCCGTATCCCGTACGACCCCAAAAATGCTTGTTATTCTTATTTAATAAAAATTAGAAAAAAAAAATTGGGTATGGGACCTTCCTGAAAAATAATTTAATTGCATTTCTTATTCAATACTCAATTTTGGGTTTTACAAAATATCCAAATTTAATGTCTGTAACTCATTCTGTGCATTAGCTAGTGATCCGTGATAAACGTACGTCTGTCCGTTTAAACAGCAGCGGAGTGACATGAACAGGGCTCCGTTTCACCCTTTGGATAAAGCACCCTAAAAATCATAAAATCCCAAAAATATTTTTTATTTTTCTTAACAAATTAATGTCGTTGTTATAGGTGCGAAGGTGACAAAGGCTGAAAATGACGGTGGAGAAAAGTAAAGGTTTAATACAGAAAATGCCGCCGGCGACGAGGAAGGTCGCACCGGACGGCGGCTGGGCGTGGATGGTCTGCTTAGGAGTAAGTTTAGTTAATGTAAGTTGAACTTTCCTACTATCATCATTATAAAATCTGTGAATCACATAGAATTAAAACTATTTAGAAATGAACTTTGCAAGCGATTAAAAATTTTGTTTTCTTTTATATACATAATATGTATAGTATAGTCAGGTCATTAGACCAGAAAATAAGAGTGACGGTACTTACATAAATTTACAACAAGCTGATAATCAGTAAAATTGTTTAAAACATATTTATAAATAAAATTTTGAAGTTCCCACCATTCTTGTGTATGGAAAAAAAAAATTACTCAAGGTCAAAGGTCAAAAAAATTAGTTTTGCGATTTTAGCAAAACGGAACGTTTTATCATAAAATACTACATACAAAAGTTGTAGATCATAAAATCATCTACAAAAAATGTATCAATACTTTTTTCCCTACGAGCCACCGTTTCTGAGATATTACGTTTAAAAAAGTTGTAAACGTCATAATATGCATGAGTACGCTACTTATATATATATATATATATATCTCTAGAGTTTTAATATATGTTAAAATATTTTTCTATCGGTCATTATAACTTACACTTAAAATATAAGTAACTTATAACTATAAGAATATCAGGTAAAATGAAACACAGTCCCTTCATTACTAATTAAACAGGATTATAACTGACTCGTGGAATAGGTGGCGTGTAAACGTGTGCATATTATGACGTTTACAACTTATTATAACTTTTTGAATCGTAATATCTCAGAAACGGGGGCTCGTAGGAAAAAATATGGATACATTTTTTGTTGAAAATTTTATGATCTACAACTTTTGTCTGGGGTAATTTTATGATAAAACTTTTCGCTTTGCTGGAAATCGCGAAATACTCATCTTTTTGACCTTTGACCTTGAGTAAATTTTTTTTCCATACACAAGAATAGTGGAGAACTTCAAAATTTTACTTATAATTATATTGTGAACAATTTTACCGATTATCAGCTTGTTGTAACTTTATGTATCACCGAATGTCTAGATTGACCGGACTAAGTATAGTCATATAGTGTATTGTACATTCGAAACAACAGAACTGCCTTCCATATATTGAATAAAATTTTTATTTTTAATTAAATCATTCGTCCAATGACGAATTTTCCCGAGCTTCTTGGGAGCTTCGTTTCTTCCTCAAAAGAAGTTAAGTTCCTGTTTCAAAGCATGCTGGTAACGATGAACCGGTCATCTCTAGCCATAGTTTTACGTTTCAATAAAATTGTGAAATAATATGTTTAAAAGTAGACAACACTCCAAAGAATGTAACAATACGTGGTCTCACTCTCAGTCGTTAACTGATATTTTATATTTTGCGAAACATGACTGACTCGATCGCGTGGTTTAGTTGTGTGCACCCGTATCTATATTGTTCTGATGTGGATTGTAATAAGTAAAAACTATGTTATTCTTTTCGTAACATTAAAATATGATAAATTAAGAAGTTTAAAATATCTTACTATAATAATATACAGACTAAATAAGCTGTAGAGTGAAAATGGCACAGTTCAAGTCGAGTCCCTAAGACCTTTTTTTCTTTTTTGGAATTTTTGCACATAAACTTTTATTTGGGTCCTTGAAAAAATATTGTAAAAACTTTAAAGTATGAATAGTTGTACAAGAATAACGTTAAGGGAGTTTTTAAAAAAATGTCTGATAATCTAAAATATTTAATAATAAGGGAAAAAAATTAGTAAAAATATGGTTGAAACTAGACGAAAACCTTTTGAACTTAGGGTTAGTAGTAAAAAAATAGGACTTAGATTTCTTTTCATTATTATTTATTTTAAAAGAAGTTACACCTACCCCTACACCCCTACACTAGGATTTCCTCCTGTATCGTGTGGACAGTTTACTTACATAGATTTCACCAGAACAAACACAGACTCAGAACAATTATTCGTAGGTCATATAAATACAAAGCTAAGCCACTACACCACCTAGCCATCAAGTGGCAATTGGTGATGATTAAAACCTTTAACTTATCATAAAGAAAAAATAAAGATAAAGATAATAAAGATATTAACAGTTACTTTGCAACCATCCGCTCAATTAAATACAATGATGTGTCTTACTTAGATTGAAGATATCAATTACACTAGTTTACAAAATTGAACTTTCTTTTTATACCCCAAAATAAATGTTTATAAATATGTTAATATACGTTTCTTAAACCTAAAAGTGTTAGGTAGCAGAAATATTTTATCACGTCACAATTTCTTTCTGCAGTCGAATGTTTTTTTTTAACTACCTAACATGTTGATGACAGTTTATTGTTTATTCGTTCGCTTCAAACGACAATTATTTTGTTTCGGATTGATTTAAAATATCGAGTGGAGAGTGTAAACAAAGTTCAGATCGTTTTTGTTATGTTTATGGACAGTTTATATTTTCAAAAAAGAGAAGACCCATTGTAGATTCGTTGAAAAGTGCATATCTTCATTATTTTGGATTTTCTGTTGCAAATCAAGATAAAAAAGTGGGTGCCTCATGTGTTTTGCGAAAGCTGTAGAATCGTTTTATTCCCGTGGTCATCAGGAGAAAACGTTCACCTTCTATTTGGTTCACCAATGCTATGGTGTGTTATTTGGATTGCAGGGTGGTTACACAAAATACTGTTATTTCCTTTGTTTGTGGGATAGTGGAGCGAAACAACATCTCATGTTAGAAAAGAATGGCCTATTCAGGTTAAGGATTTTTTAAGTTTATGATTTTTTTTATTTTTATTCTATTTTTAATAAATATTAAATTATAGTAATGTTTATAACTATAGAACGCTATTGTACATATACTTTAATTAGTTGTAACTATATTGATGTTTCTGTATGTGGTGTACAAGGATAATAATAATAATAATATAAATTTTTCTTACTAATGGGGGGGCTTTTTGTTTGAATGAGTATATTCCGGGCAAAATGAACGTTAAATACGTTGTTGGTAGATCCCAATAACATCATCACCCCCTTTTCACCAAATTGGGGCTTATGAAAATTTTTGTGAAGGCGCTTGACAAAAACAGTGATGCTTTCCGGTATTTTCGAAAAATCTTTCCAAACATTACAGAGGGAAAGCTGAAAGAGGGTATATTTGTTGCCTCATAAATCTGTAAAATCATGAAAGATTCTCGGTTTGAAAGCCTTTTATCCGTTAATGAAAAATCTGCTTGGAAGCCATTCAAAATGGTTGTAGGAATTTTTTTGGGAAATAAAAAAAGTGAAAATTACAAAGAAATTGTTACCGATTTATTGGAAAATTTTCTAAAGGTGGGAGTAAACATGTCATTAAAGATTTATTTTCTGCACTCGCATCCAAATTTTTTCCCTGAAAACTTAGGAAGTACGAGTGATGAACAAGGGGAATGTTTTCACAAAGATTTAAAGGTTTTAGAAGAACATCAAGGATTTTGGGATAAAACGTATTGGGGGATTACTGCTGGTCCATTATAAGAGAAACTAATTCAAATAGTTATAAAAAGTAGGAAAAAATTAGTAATATTTGATTTTTTTTTAGTAGGTATTAATACCAAAATTATTTTTAATTAAGTTGATAAATATTTATTAAACTAGACGTGACAGAATTTTTTTATTATTATTTTTGAATAATTCTACATAAATGAATAACAAAATAACAACTTTCAGCTGGGGTATGAAAACCGTGTAAACTAGTGTTATCTTTAAGTTATCGTAAATATAAAAAAGTTCAAAATAGTAATGTTCTAATATGGTTTGAATATCCCGTTCTGCTATATTAAGTTGGCTTCGGACTTGCAGATATAATAAAACTAATTTTACGTATTTTTTCGCGCTTATTTTTAACTTTTTGGATCCTAATGTTTCGGGCCCTTTACAGCACACACTTTTACGTGGGGGACACGTTCAGCCTTTAAATTTAAATTTTTAAATAAAACTATTTTCACAGGTTTTATCGCGTATAATTTAAATTGTCGGGAATTAAAAATAAGTAAATGTGTAGTATTCGCGTAAACCATCATCATCATTCCACTGCCCTTCACAAGTCCACTGCTGAACATAGGCCTCCCCCAAAGAATGACACGGAGCACGGTCCTGCGCCACCTACATCCATCGACTTCTTGCATGTTTTACCAGCTCCTCACTCCATCTTGTGGGGGGTCACCTCAAACTTCGCCGGTACGACACTGCCACTCGAGAACCTTGCTTCACCATTGTGTGTCATTTCTTCGAGCTATATAGCCGGTCCATTGCCACTTCATGTTACTAATCCGTAAATATAAGAAAACGTTCTATTAATTTTTGGTCTGAACGCCGCGCCGCAGAAGCAAGCTTACAGCATCTTGTAGTCTTGCAATGGTATGCTTGGACTTGGGTTTAATTTTATTAATAATGAGATTTCAAGCAGATGGTAGCACCCATTCATCTTTTCTATTGAAATTAGGATGTATTTTAATTTCAATCCGTGGTAACAATCGGTGTTCTTATGCGAAGATTTATGTTTATTAAATCTGATGTAAAGTCAAGGACGATCTGAACATGTTCACAGACTGCTGAATTCCTAGAGCGTCGATGCTTCACGTCAGCTATGTTCTTTTATGCGGGTTTTATCGAGCTTTTTGTTTATCCTTTAAAAGATACTACATTCACAATTAAGCTTGTACACTTCTGCATCTTGTAGAGGGATATAACACTTGATAGATGGTAAACATGACTAATTTTATTTGACAGTTTGTAGGATATCTTACTGAAAGCCACTTCAAGATTTAGCTCATCTGTGACTCCTCTGATATATGGTAGTAAAGCAGACACACACTCGACTACGGCCAGTCTCACTCGGTCAAAATAACGGTGCGTTTACTGACACAGATCATCATTGTCTTACGTCTTCATAAATTAAGGTTTATTTTTCAAAAACCATACTTTACAACTTCTTAGTATATTGATGTTTAATGATGACTAAGATTTCACTATAGCGGTAAAGGAATTAACCGATACTAATTTAAGGAAACTGAAAGAAAGCCTTGCGGTGTGCTACCTTCTTTTATGCACTAGTAACAAAATCAGATCAGAAAATTCATGTTTCAACCGTTATACAACTTATCGTCAACCCTAATTATATGACGTATTCGAATGCTTATTTCTCAATACTCGTTCTACAACAACAATGCGTTGCTACGATAGTTACCTATTTAATAAATGAATCATTCCTCTTAATATTGACTTTCAACATATATTTTAGACATATTTCACGATAACTTGATAACACTATTAGGTCATTTGGGTTGGTGTGTGAACTGAGATCCATTGATATATCAACTAATATCTTATTGTTGCATTGTATAAAAAATTATCCAATTTGCGAATGTTATTTAAAACAAAACATCCGCTTTATACCAGATAATAATTTAGAATGTCTGAGTCTCCGGTGTGAGCTGCAGAAAACGCCAGAACCGCCGAAAACGACCAGGTGGGCTCTGGGCTCCAATGTCTCCGAAGAGAAGTGTTATGGTTTCCGAACCAAGGCGGTATACCATCTTATTGTATGTCATACGTAAAAATAACTACCAAACCGGTAAGGTAAAGCAGTTTCAAACTTTCAAGGCGCTTATTTTCACAATAATTTATCTAATGCACGCTTCTCGAGCTTGATTTAGCTTATATTTTCGCCACATCTACTTGGAGGCTCATTATTATGTTTACAGTTTTAGGGCCTTAATCATAAAAATCTACTATTTAAGAAATGCTAAATTTGCTGTCTCTCTCTCATTCATTCATTTTCATTAATGAAAATAGAAATAAACAGATATAGAGATAAAAACACTTAATATGAGTAGTAACGTAGTTTTAATTTGTGTTATATAAGGCTTTAAATATGTCGCAGATTTATTATTTAGTTTTATGATAAAATCAACATAACCTTTTTTTACACGGGGAAATGCTTACGCATACTTCGCCTCGTGGGGGCAATGACGCGTTTTGTCGGATTCGTACCGACTAAAACCCCATGATGTTTCACTTTCGTCGCATATTGGTAGGGCTACGGGAACTCTTTCGCACATATCCGCGGCTCCACCAACGCCGCCCGCCTCATGGCAGCCCCTCCCCGAAATTGGACTATTCCTCCCCTTCTCAGGTAAAGCACACGAGAACACATAGCGTACCTTCCTCCCCGGCCTCCAACAACATCTGCGCAACGGACGCCTCCGTGTCCGATGCACAAAGGTCATGGGGCCAGCAAAAACGTGCACTCAGAAACACCAGCTTTCCTGATCCCAGCGGCGGATCTAGTCTATAGCTCCGCCGCCAACCAAGATTCGGCTGCGGAGGGTAGAGCAAGCGGCGCCTCGCAATACCCACATTCCTCTCCCCCACCGCCACCGCATCTACGGTGCGGCCCCGTCAGAGTCGCGGAGGATAGGGCGAGTGGCGCATCGCCATACCAATACTCTCTTCTTCCGCGACTTCACCTTGGGTGCGGCGGTAATGGGAGAGGAAACGCCTCTCGCCGCAGCCCACCACAACACTTCCGAAGTGGGCTCGCCAATTCCACTCGGAGTGGCCACCTCGGGCCAGACATGCCACGGCTACTAAGCCTCTCCGTTACGACAAGGCGGGAACTCGTTCGGGGGGGGGGGGGGATCAACCTAACCTAACCTTAAATTTCAAGATTTGTTCAGGTTAATGATGAGATTACGTAATAACTTTGTTTTCTTCCGGTTCTTGATCAAAAGACTAGGTTTTGATCAAAGATCTGACTTTATCATAAACCTGCAACAAGTACATTTCCTTTAATATGTAGCTTGGAATGGAAACATTAGACTAAAAGAAATTGAGTTGGTTTAGTAAACGTTTGCGTGAAGTGGTCTAGCAAATTGACATCAACACAAAATCTATTACCATTTCTACATGCGTACACGTAGAGCGTACACGAATTTAGCATTACGGCAAATATAATGTTGTATTTCGATAACTTATACTTAAAGTTTTTTGATGTTTTAGTTTTCGACACATCTTAACCGAAACTAGCAAATACTATTAGTTATCCGCATATTGTAGTTGTTCCTAAAACTCATAATATACTAACTTTTTAGTGTATTTTAGGTCAGTATCACCTGTCATTGTAATTTTTATATATTATTTTATAAAATCAAGTTACAAATGAACTTACAGTCCACTTGAAGGTATGTAGTTACTGCAGTCCATGGACACCTGCAGCCAATAAACAAAGCAGGCTACTTATAACCCTATGAGGACTACCCCAATGGAATACCCCACAGCTTGTGATTAAACTGAATATCTACACCCTTTACAGCGGCACAAAGCAGTGGACGCACTGCTATTTGGTGGAAGAAATAATTATGTTTTTTTTTTTATAGAATGAAGGTGACAAACGAACTCACAGTCCACCTGACGGTAAGTGGATGCTGTGCCCCGTAGACATATACATTTATCCTCGATTAAGGATCAAGATACTGATGCGTAGTCACCCCTGACGACTAAGATGGAATGCCTCGTTTCCAGTAAAAAGGTTCTCTGGTTCACTACACTCAGCCTTAAGCTGCTATTTTACGATGGTATTGGAGAGCGTTGTCCTGTTCCGGTCGAGCCGACCGTAGCTGTAGCTATCCAGTAGGACTTCAAGGCAGAAATGTAGTCCAACCACATAGACTATGTGTTCTTCATTCGTTCCACTTCCACATAAAGAAAAAAATCTAAGTCCAAAATCAAAAGTAATAATTGTGCTTTCTTTGCTGTGCTGCGTATAGTTCAAAATTTCACATTGTCTAAAGTAAGATGCAAGTTGGATTTACATGTAGATAATCGGTTGGAGACGTATGCTCGAAAATTACAATATAACCTCTTATATTATTGCAATTTTCATTGTTCCTGTACCTGCGATCTCACTCAGGTTGCAGCAGCGCCGTGTGTTTCTATTAGAACACGTGTTTGAAGGGAACTTAGAATTTAACAGTGACTTTATTATATATATTTTATAATTATTTAAAAGCTTTAAACTCATTCCCAATTCAGAACATTTCACATAAACACTACTTCAATCTTTTCCGAAAGAGGGAAATCCATAACTCTTATAATAAATAAATTCAAATTTTAACATGAAGGTGTTACAAAATTTCAAATTGCCAGGTGATGTTTATATTTTATATTTCAAATGTTTATATTCTAAAACTTATCCGTGTTTTTAACAACTACGATTTAAAAATGCGTGTTTGCAGATATAAATTCAACTGTATGAAAAGGCTGCTTTCGACCAGCTCAAACGTTAAATTGAAAGTTAAACGCGTAATTAATTCTAACTATAATTTAACTATAACTATAAATTAACTATGACTATAATTTAATTTAGCTGTAGAACACCGCTGATTATCTAACGGCCTTACCGTACAGTAATTGATTGCTTGATTAAATGATCATTTTGGGACTTATATAAACCAATATTTTTTATGTTTACGTTTCTTATACAACTAATAGTGACAAAAAGCACACAGCCCGCCCGATAGAATAAGGGAATCTTCTGGTCAATAGACAAATTAAATTTCTCGTTAATTATAAAAATACTATCCATGTTTAATTCTGATCACTATACGAATCATAACAGCATTATGCTGCTATGTTACGCTGGTATTTTGTGAGAGCGAAGATTTTTCCCCAGTTTAATATGACTACATCGCCTATGTCTAAAATTCTGCGAAATTAACGTATATTTTTTATTTTTAATGTTAGTGTGATGGGTGATAATAAGATGCTCATATTAAAAGAGAAAATTATTGTTTCAGTTTTCTACACGATCCCTTGAGCCGTCATTTGGTCTCCTATTTAAAGACTTACTTGATGACTTGGGTGTCCACACGACTGGCGCCTCCGTAATCGCTAGCACACTGGATTGTGTGGTGAACTTCTCCGGTTTCTTCGTTGGTCCTGTTATAAAGACTTTCTCATATAGGAAGGTGTGCTTTGTTGGTTCAACGATATGTGCCCTAGGACTTTTGTTCACCGCACCGGCTAACAGCATGGGGCATATATTAGCTACTTATAGCATATTAGGAGGTAAGTCATAGTGGCTGTACATATATCTGTGTATACATTCGTATATATATATATATATATATATATATATATATATATATATATAGCAAGTAAGTCGTATTTATATTAAAAATCATGTTATTGGAATTATAAAATTACGATATTATACATTTTATATATTAGATTGTACTCGTATATAGAGCAACGCGGCGGACAAATAGCTCATAGTTCTTTCAGAAATTTTCTCTTAACTTGCAGAATTTACCCGAGTGGACGTATTTGAACATTGTGAGTTCTGTACGACACTCTTTACGATCTTTAAACGTGCGTCTATAAACATACAATTATTTAATACTAGCTGGTATCCAGTGCGTTGCCACCGCAGAAAAGGAATTATGGAAGTAACTTTTTTTAATTTTGAAAAGTTTTATTGTTTAATTATTAACAGTACTTTAATTGAAGATGAATGATATACGTAAAGTATAAGGGTGTTACCACCAATCGATCGATCGTCGATGGATGTCGATCAATTGGTATAGTGTAGGCTTATCTGATCGACGGATACTGTTAGGTAAACGTTGTTCAATCAAAAAGATAACCCAAAATCATATCGATTAATAGTTGATCGACTATAAATCGATGTGGTTTGAGCTCATCACAGTATCTTTTAAAATGATTAAGGAGAAGACGCGTTATTCTTATTATGCTCGTATTATTATTATGGAGTCGCAAACGCAGAAGACTGCATGCAACCAGGCCTCTGTCACTCTTGCTACCTGCGTGAAATAATTACCTAAAATCGCGAGTCACCCTGGGCGTTATAGGCATTCGGGGCTAGCGCGTTGTAGGCGATTCAATGTTAAAGTTTTTTAATGCTATAAGTAATAATTTTATGTAAATACTTGTTGAAATAGTTTTTGTTTAGTGTATAGTATATTTATTTGTAGGTAAAAATAGTTGTAAAAGTTTTAATGTATTTTAAAAATTATAATATATTATGTATATTACCTATGTGATAAATTATAATAGCAAAACGTCGTTTCTACTATAACTGTTGCGTGGATGAATACTAAATGAAATGACCAACAAAAGGTTTCATATTATCATTTTTTAAGTTACCGAAGAATTTTAGAAGGAAGTTATGAAAGGTAAATTTATTAAATTTTTTATTAGATACTTACAGAAAAAAAGAATTAAGTAATAATTGGGTCTACAGAAGAAATACCTAAGTACTTTATTACAAAAATTAGTTAAAATTTACTTCACTATCCAAGTATTTACTTACATACCTATACTTGTCTTTTGTAAAAGTCTTTTGTTAAAATTTATTTAAGTTATATTAACACAAAATACTGAAATTTAAACTTTGTATACTAACAAGATTTTTAACTAAGTAGAATAGATCACATTTCTGTTAGGAATCGCATTTCAGGTTTATTTGTTGTTTACACTATTTACCTATTTCTTTCGAACCAAGACTTGCGATTCCCGACGAATGACCTTGCAATTTGCATGCGTTAGGCATCGCAGAACTCACAGAGGGACAAAAGTATGGTCAGTCTATCATAGTCAGAATAGATACTTCACCTATGTAACATAATTAACATTTCGCAATGTATTTTTTTACTTTCTATTGACATCCTTTAATAACTGAAAGTCCGCCGTGCTTAGGAAGCGGAAAAGATGCAAAGTAAAAAGTAATATTGACACTAACGCGCAGCGATAAAGTTGTATTTAGCTTGCGTGCGCGATTTATCTGATTAATAATAATTATGTAGGCTATTAAACGTCGGCAAGCAGTCGATAAGGAGTGCAAGTTCTGTAGGTAGCACTATTATTTATTCTGTGATGCAACTGTTTTTTAAGGCCAGAGATCGCTTATTTCATCGAGATGAAATTTTGAATAGCGGGTTTTTGGATGCTTTTCGAATGAGTAACAGTGATATTGAAAATCTCTTATACATGGTGGCACCCCCAATTGCGAAATTGGTTACTAATTACAGATAGGTCGGTGGAGCGGGGTGGATTCTCGAATAATCAAGCAGCTCGAATCACGTCGACTAACCGAATCTACCATCGATCGATTGTTGTGGTAACACACTAACTTTCAAATAAATGTGTTACGCCCGGCCTATGGTACTATGCACCGTTTTGCGATGAAACGGTATGGCACCGCATAAAATACGAACAAACAAACATTAATTGTTATCTATACATACATTTATACAAATAATAAATTGAAATGTCTGTCTATAATGTGAAAATAACAGCTTTTTACTAAATGCGTATGAATATACAGTAGTTATAAGAAAAAAAAATCTAAAATTTGAATTTGTCCGTCTGTCTGTTTGTTCCGGCTAATCTCCGAAATGGCTGGTCCAATTTTGACGGGACTTTCACTAGCAGATAGCTGATGTTATAAGGAGTAACATAGGAGTAACAACACACTTTAATTTTAGAAAAATTATTAAGGGTATCGCGCAAAACAACTAAAATCCACGAACTGCGAACGTAATAAATTCCACGCGGACAAAGTCGCGGGGAACAGTTAGTATATTATGCAAACTGGCGATTGTTGTCACTTAGTGAAATTTAATCTTCATCTTATGATTTAATTTGGCACATGTACTTGTTTCACTTAGATCTTAATTACTGTTTTAATCAATTTAGTTACCTATAAATAAATTTTATGCAATAATTTCCAGCGATTACTACTATTTATTAATTAATTAGGTTATTTACATTTTTACTTGGTAAAGCCATGCTGCAGCAATATTATGTTCGTAGCACGAATGGGTCTGCTTGGCCGACGAAGGACCACGCTCTTACAGAATTCCAGCGCAAAATAACAGCTTAATGTGTTTTGTATGTTGAGTGTAAAGAACTGGAGACCTTTTTGACTGGATACGAGCCATTCCATCTTAGTCCTCAGGGGTGACAACGAATCTGCATTTTGTTTCTTAATCGAAGATAGAAGTAAATGTTTTTAGGCTAAAGTATCCAATTACTATAAGGTGGAATTTGAGCTCGTTTGTCATCCTTAATCAATAAAAAAGTTGTTTATCTTCTTATTTTCTTCTTCTTATTATTATATCATAACTTTTTTTATATAAAAATCAATTGATGTCCATTATTCTCGCTAAAGCTCGAATATGGCTCGAACGATTTCGATAAATTATTTTGTGTGTGTTTGAGTGGGTCCCTGGATAGTTTAAAAACTAGTTAAAAAATTTGTAGGTGGCGCTGTTGTCGAGATCCAGAAATCACCCGTGCGAAGCCGGGGTGGATCGCTAGTTCTTTATACATGTTAATTTTTTTGCAGCAATGACAAACTAAATCCACTTTTGTGCCCACTTTTGGACACTTGCATTCAATCAATTCCATTTTTATTACGTGATAGAGCCATGTTGCTGTTTTTTTTTTAAATATTAGTAATCTTATTAACTAACATTACTAATATTCCCTTTAACCACTCCTGGTAAGCTTGAAACGCTTGTGTTAGGAGTGGTTCACGACAGTAGTTAAATGGCGGATTCGAACTCACGACCTTTTGAGTTCATGATCCGCGCCCTGCCATTGGGCTACTGTCTATATTAGTAGTATAGTTGTAGCACGAATGGGTTGGCTCGACTAGGGAAGGACCACGCTCTCACAGAATACCAGCGTAAAATAGTAGCTTAATGCTGATGTGTTTAGTATGGTGAGTGTAGAGAACCGGAGACCCTTTTTACTGGAAACGAGGCGTTCTATTTTAATCCTCACGGGTGGCAACGCATCTGCATTTTGATTCGTAATCGAGGATAGATGTATATGTCTATGGGCCACAGCAACCACTTACTATCACGTGGACTGTTTGATCGTTTGTCACCCTATCTTATAAAAAAAATCTAAATAGTTCACTGCTGAACATATGCCCCATAGATTACCTCATAGGGGGGATAACTGCTATAGTTACCACGCTTGGCATGCGTTTTGGCAAACGCATTTGTTGATATTTTAGGTGGTTATTAGGAAGACGATGCTGTCCATCTGCTACGGTTATCCGAGATGGTTTTCTACGATAGTTATAGAAAACTATAAAAATGAATGGGAATCACATAACTGAACGACAAGTTAATGTTGATTTAAGTCAAAGCTTAGCTAACTTTGTTTTTTTCCGTCTATCCCCTTTTACGATACGTAGTGGATATTCCTACAACGCCACTACACAGTCATCTTTTAATAAATGGCTAATAATTAAATACATAGATAAATAAATAAACAGAATATTAGATAAAATAAGTCAATATTGACTTTTAATAGACATTTAATAAATTACAAGTAACTTTAGAAATTAATCACCGTATTTTTTTTGTATATTAAGAAAGCTGTATTTGTTCTGTTTTCTTCCGTACTTTCAACTCTCAGTATGTATCTAAATATTTTATATACTTTCAATAGCTCATTAATATGTAAAACATAGATATTCCATATAAAAGATTAAATAAAGGCTTTTCTGAATTGATATACACCCCACAGGTTATTCATAAAGGATCATTATGAATCACATACAATTGGCAACATTTCGAAATTCCTTAGTGATAAATCTCTAGTCAGTGCGACGGATTGACCACAGACTATTATGTTTTTTCCTTCACCGCCGAGCACGTGGTAAATCAGCACTTAAAATTGCAATTAACAATTTCATTGGTGCCGGCGGGGATCGAACCCGGGTAGCCCGCGTACTGTGAAATTTGCAGCGAGCGTTTAGCCCCTGAGCTACCAGGCTCATCAGTGAGGAAACATATCTGAGAAATGAAAAAATATATTTCGAAGACATTTGCCGACCGCCAACATGCGGCGGACACTTCCTTGACCTAAAACCCATTCAGAAATGAGGGGAGGCCTGTGCCCAGCTGTGGGATGTATATGCACTGGGACTTAAATTTATTATGTGTTTGACAATCGACATTGCTAGTATAAACGTAGACAATGTATGTTTTATTTTATATTTAATATTAAATAAAACATACATTGTCTGC